CAGCTCCCCACCTGCTACAGGCAGGGAGCTGCTCTATCCCAGCAAGGTCCAATGTGGGAAGGGGGTGCTCTAGCCCAGGTAGAGCAGCCCCTGTATATAGCAAGCCTGGGCTGGTGCTCCTCACACAGGGGGGCTCCATCCTGGCTGGAATAGCCCCCACCTGCAGCAGGGAAGGAAGGTGCTCCAGCCTACCCTCTGCCCCACCCCCTTCATGTGGTTTCCCAGTTAAATGATTAAATGGGATTTTACATCCCTACAGCTGGGTAGGTTTGAGATGATGGACAGAAAGAATCCTGTGTCTCCAGAGCACTTGCAAAAACACTTGACAGAGAAAGCTTAAATCTATTAACTGCAACAGCAAGTTGTGGCACTTGTACATCCTGACCATTGGACAAAGGACCACTGTGTGCACAGCTGTGCAAGAGGTAAGCTAAGATTTTGTTGTTATTATTTTTAGTAAAAGTCACAGACAGGTCATGGGCAACAACTAAAAATTCACATAAGTCCCTGACTTTTAATAAAAATAACTGACAAAATGGGAAAGGAGGAGGGTCTAGAACACACAGGTTGTAGGTGAACCCTGGTCTCAGGATGGTTAGCCCTTGGCCTGTCACTTCTGCCTGAGGCATTTTTCCTTCCACTGAAGTCCAGACACCTCACTCCTATGTGGAACCCTTCTTTCTCCCCCCACAGCACTCTTGAGTATGCAATATGACTTTCCTCCAGCAGTCCCAGAGTGCCTGGCATGTGGGTAGTGTGGCCCACAGATGAACGATGTTAAAGACTAGTTGACTATCCAATAAGAATTTGCTTATCAGATAGTAATGTCAACTAGACAATTCCCCCCTTGCCGCCTATATGAAATAGAGGCAGCACTGGGTGGGGGGAAAGGGGTACTTTAAAGTGGCACTGCTGCTCTGAAACCCGAAGGTGGCAGCTGCACAGCTGATCCTGGGATCACCTGTGTGGCAGGCTGCCCCTTTTAAAACACCACCTTTGCGGGGAATCAAAGGGGCAGCCCTGGAGTCCAGGGTCAGCTGGGGATTCCCAGCTGATCCTGGGATCCCTGTGGCATTTCCCCAGAACCTGGGATCAGCTGGAGAGTCCCCAGTTGACTGTGGGTTCCATGTGACACTTCCCTAGACTCCCCAGCTGATCCTGAGTCCTGGGGAAATGCCACAGGGAGCCTGGGGTCATCTGAGGAGTTCCCAGCTGACCCTGGGCTTCCCTCCTGCCCCTTTGAATCATGCAGAGGCAGTGTTTTAAAGAGCCAACAGGCCGCATAGCTGATCCCAAGATCAGCTGTGCAGCGGGCTGGCCCTTTAAAATACTGCCTCCGCATGATTCAAAGGGAGCAGCTGCCATTGATCCCGGGGTCAGCTGGGACCTCCCCAGCTGACCCTGGGCTCCCTATGGCATTTCCCCAGGACCTGGGATCAGCTGGGGAGTCCAGGGAAGTGCCACATGGAACCCAGAGTCAACTGACTAGTCAATTAATCACATTTTAGCATCCTTACCAGAGACCTTCTTCCCTCAACCCTGGAGTGCAAAGTGGTTATCACCCTCCCAGCACATATGGGTGGTGTGCCCTCCCAGCCCTTGAGTATTATGTGAGTGTTGCATAGCCCCCCAGCACCAGGCAGCCCTCATTAACCTCAGCCCTATCCTGGTACCTCCCCCACACAGCACAGTTCTGGGAAGCAGGAAGGGACCTGGGGGCAGAGCATGAGAGGGGCCAGAGGCCATACAAGGCTTTTTGGTGTAGCTCAGCCTTCTGCTGCCTTCAATAACTGCTACCTATGCCAATATCTGTGGTTGCTGGGGCTCCACGATTCCCTCCCATGGTGACTGCAAGTGTGGGGTCCTCTGGCAGCTGGCAACAGCTTAGAGATGTGGGGTACCCCACATATGGAAGAGGCTTGGAGCTGTAAGGGTCCTTCCACTACTCCTGATGGTGGCTTTCAGTTGTGGGGCATCCTGGATAGGGACCACAGCAGGTCCCCCCCTACCTGTCATCTTGGCTGGATTTTTAAAGGGAGCCCCTGCAACCTGTTGTGGCTAGGAGTTGCAGCGGACTTCACTGGCTGTCAGGTCCTGCCTTGGGGCTGAAGTAAAAATGTCCCAAAGATCTCTGGAAGTAATGGAAATACCAAACTTGAATTCAAATGGAATTCAGAATCTTTACTGGGATCTTCCTTCCCCTTGGATACTTTATCAGTTAATCTAATAATTCTGATTTTTCATAGATTAATGTTTTGGGTAGAGATGTTAGATATTGGGTAATACAATAGTTGACTAACTGCACGAATTCTTAGTGGTTAGTTGACTATTCTATGGTCCAATGTATCAGAGGCAGCAGTACATAGTGCTAGGTGGGAAATGGTCCACGAGGGGAGACAGTTAAAAACCAGCTCCCCTTGTAGACCAGCTGCTTGCTGCCCCGTGCTGCTGCCTCTGATATAGAGGCAGCAGCATGGGGTGATAGCAGCCCCTGTCCGTGATGGGTCCGAGCTCTGCACGGACAGAGGCTGGCCCCGCCCCCGTCTTTTTGGGG